GGTTGAGCCACAGGCGCCGAGCCGCCCCATTAGTTTTTAAATGGGAATCCTCACACATTTGAATGTATAGTTTCTAGAATAGTCCACTATCCCTTTTCTTTTCTTTGAAAATCCACCGTGAGTAAAAACTGAGAGTGTCTTCTGTACTTCCTTTGGTAGCAAAACCTAAGCTGAGCTAACTTGAGGCTATTCATTAATTGTTATTCCATTTAGTATTAGTGATACCTGTGTTTTGTAGAAATGTTAATATGTTTGATTACAGGGTATTAGAAATGGTAGTATATGCACTAAATTATCTTGATTACTTAATATTAAATTAAAGTAGTTTAATGAGTGAGTCATCTTTTACAATTAATTAAAAAAATTTCTAAACTTGGTGTGGTGCCCGTGGCTCAAAGGAGTAGGGCGCCAGCCCCATATGCCGGAGGGGCAGGTTTGCCTCGGTTTGCCCCGGCCAAAAACTGGAAAAAAATACCTAAACACATGAAAAGTACAATATCTGGCTCGGCACCTGTGGCTCAAGTGACTAAGGTACCGGCCACATACACTTAAGGTGGCGGGTTCAAATCTAGCTGGGTCTGCCAAACAACGATGGCTGCAACCAAAAAAAAAAAATAGCCAGGCGTTGTGGCAGGCTCCTGTGGTCCCAGCTACTTGGGGGCAGAGGCAGGAGACTCACTTGAGCCCAGGAGTTGAAGGTTGCTGTGAGCTGTGATGCCACAGCACTCTACCCAGGGGGATAGCTTCAGGCTGTCTCAAAAAACATAAAAAGAAAAAGTACTTTTATTTCCTAATCTCAATAATCATGTATGTTAAAGAAAAAGCAAAGCAAAATTTTCTACTTCCTCTTTATAACTCTTAAAATAGTAAAAAGTGACATAAGAAAAAGCATTTTTTATTGGGTACCCAATCTTGTATGCCCAGTCAGGTGGTACAAATATGAATATGAAACATTTTTAGGATAGAAATTCTGTCACAGAGAGGAATGTGTGAGTCTCTGTAGCTTATGTCTCTACCACTGCTTTGGGTTTCAGGTTGGCCGTCTTTTGCAGCAGTTGGCAATGACTGGCTGTGAAGAGGGAGATCCTCGAACAAAAAGCAGCCTTGGAAAATTTGACAAAGTAAGAATGAATACTCTGTATAATACTGTTTATAGAATGTTCACCCTGAGTATTAGTGAACATGACTGAACTGTTGTCTTTATAAATCTTGTCCTTAGGTCATAATTAAATTCAGTGTTTTGTTTTTTTTTGGCTGGGGCTGGGTTTGAACCTGCCACCTCAGGCATATGGGGCTGGCGCCTTCCTCCTTTGAGCCACAGGCACCACCTCAATGTTCTTTTAATTAAGACCTGCATGATGGCTCATGCCTGTAATCCTAGCACTCTGGGAGGCAGAGGTGGGTGGATAACCTGAGCACGAGTTTGAGACCAGCCTGAGCAAGAGT